TATGAAGATTTAAGTTGAAAATGCAAATAGTGTTGTTGAATTGTTGAAATTGTTGAAATGAAATTGAAAATTTTTGATAATTAAATTAATTCTATATTAATTGTGAAGATGTGCGTAATTTTTAAACAAAATTCAATATATGATATTCTAAAAGATTAGGTACTAATAAAAAAGACATACTAATAAATTCTGCTCTTGCTAATATTTTACTCCTTGTATACAATATATACAAATTTCATAATATTTTTTAAAATATTTGCGTATTTTATGCAAATATTTTTCAATTAACTAGAAGAAAAATTTCTGTGAACAGCCGAGAATTCAATATAAAAGCCTACCTACAATAAAATTTTAATATTGTGTGTAGTAAACAATATTGTGTAAAGAAGAGAAGAGAAGGTAAATATGCGAATGACAATTGATTTAATGGTGCCATTTTATTTTTTCTTTTATTAATAGAAATTTAAAAATAATTTTGTTTTTGTTACATTGAAAATTTATTTGAAATAAATAGTTTTTGAAAAAAAAAAAAAATTAAAACTTGCTTCATTTTATTCTGTAAATAAAAATTTTTGATTTTCTTAATGTAAATTTGATTTTACAAAATTTTCTTCGACAATAATTTGAGTGATACCCACAGGAGCATTATGTAATTTTATGATTTTTGACAATAATGTTTTCTCTTCAAATTTATTTGGAATTTGGCAAAATTTGACAAAGAACAACTGTTTGGTCAAATATTTTCAAAAATTCGGGAAAAATTAATTTTACTTTCGCGATAACTGTACTGCTATTCTACATGAAGTACTGGTACATTATGTATGTAACTTGTTTAAATAGTAAATTAAGTAATAATGGTACATTTTAATTCGAAAAAGCAAAAATCAAGCATATAAATTACCTTATATCCCCGGTAAGTTAACTCTGCCGATAAGTTAATTTGATCTTTATAATACTCGAGAGAATTATACGTTAAAATATAATATTTTTTTTGTTATTTATTTATTTGTATAGATATTAATGTCAAAATACTTGAAATTTGAGAATTTTTTAGTTGAAATCATAAAATCATGTTAGAATTTTTTTGAATAATTAGCAAAGTGGTTAAAATTATGGATTATAATTTTGTATGATAGTTTTTATGTCATGATACAAATACAAATACTGTGATCATATTGCGAAATTTAACTATTAATTGCTGTTATTGATGCAGTTACTAACTAAACATTTTGAGTTCATTATGATTGTCACATCGATTTTTATTTAATTAATTTTGTTTGATATTTTGTTTTAGCTGCAAATCGTCTTAAATTCAACTTGCCATACTTGAAAATTATTGCATTATTACGTATAAGATATTAAGTAAGATGAATTTGAAAAAAAAAAAAATATAATTTTGTAATTTAAAATTCAATTGCCATTTTATTTCAAAAATATTATTCTACGATAAAACATGCTGTTAATTTTTAATAATGTATATAAAAGCGGAAATTAATAATTTTCGCATGTAAGATCTGTTATTACCTTTGATTTGTTCTTCAATTTTTTTATAATCATATACTATAGGTTGTGTATTAAAATTTTTTATTAATATTGTATTTATGGTCTTGATCTTGAAAATCTTATTTGGCATATCCAAGTATTTGGTATATCTAAGTATTATACAAGTAAATTTTAGTATTATTGCTATTTACAATGTATTTTTTCATGAGTGAAGACCTTAAATTACACCAATAAAAGTTGTAAATTAAAAATTTAGAAAAAATAATTAATCAAAACAAAGAAGAAAGACAGTTAACCAGAAGGTTATACTATTTTGAAAGCCAAAATATTTAATTAACGAATGACAATTATATTACAAATTTAAATGGTCAATTATATAAAAAAATTTTTTATTAATAAATTGAAATTACAGGTTATTTACTTTCATATACCAAATAATTAATTGAATTTAACCCATTAGGAAGCATATAGTACAATTTTAAATGACACATCATATAAAAATTAATCCGTTTTGGAAATCAGGTTCTGTATAAAAAATTAATAAATATATAGTATACGATGTTTGGCTGTCCATCGAACTCCAATTGCCACAAATGTGTCATTTTACTACTGGCTACTACTTCGAGATCATAAGGCTGTCATTGAGCGTGACAAGTGGCCTATCTAAGCCACCCGGTTCTATTCTGACTCATGTTACCCAAAGCAGGACACTCGCAGAGTTGGTGAAAAGTAGTATCCTTCTTGTCCATTACGTGACCTCTAATACACGAGATTTATTAAAGAAAAATTTCCCGAATAAATTATGTTTAAAGTTAAAATTTATTTTGGAAAAAAACCCACCTTATACACGATTTCAGAACTAATATAGCTTAACTAAACAAGTTTTAATCAGAATAAGTGCTGGTTTTGGGAAAAAATTTTGGAACTTGACATTTTTCTCTAAAATTTCGTTAATAATTCAGGCACTCGAATTAATTTTTGGCAGAGTATGAATTGAGCTGAAACCAACTTGACTTTGATGTAATCTCAATAATGACAAATTTTGAGTTAGTCGGTTTTCATTTTAGATTGATTAAGAACATTCAGAGATAATACATGAGGGCATAGCTAATTATGAACAGAAATCTGATTTTTAAAAATATGTTAGACTTAAAGAAATAATCCAATAAAATCGCTGGTAAAGGGGCAAACAAAGCCTCCGAAAATACATAAAATTTCATAAGATTGTGGAATTCAAATTACATTTATTACATTAAATTACGAAAATGCAGAAAGTCGACAAAGATTGACTAATGCAAATGCATAAATAAAATATGAATAGAAGCAAAAATACTTGTAAATGACATTGAAATTACAAAATTTTAGGTTAATTGGATTCAAAAATACTTTTAGCTCTCTATATTTAAATTTATTGAAGTTCATAAATTTCTTCGATAATAAAAATAAACTAATTTTTTTTTTTTTTATAAATTAGTAACTATATAAAAATTTTATCGTAAATAACTTAATTTAAATTTTTTAATATATTTTTATTTTTTTTCTTCTATTTTTTTATTACAAATTCTATATACATATTATATATACAATAAACTTGTAAATTAACCTTTAATAAAAATAAAAAATTACAACGTAAAACTGAAAGAGAAGAAAAATACTAAAAAAAAAAAAATTTCAAAAACATTTTCTCACAATATTCACAATATTCGAATTCAAATATTGTTAAAGCTGCTATCTTTAAATTTAAAATTATATACCTATAATAACTGCTGATTATTGCGGTATAATAAAATACAGGTATGTTACGACTTATTACGTAAATATAAATATGTATATATAGCAATAACATGATAATTAACAGATGTAAAAGATCAAATTTTCACAGTATGTTTTCTCATATTTATTGTGTGTGTGTTTGTGAATATTTTCTGTATACATATATTTATTAAGACAAAATCAATTCAAAACATTAATATTAATCATCAGAAAACTACAGGCAAACAAAAATAACAATAACATTCATAACAACGGTAATAATAATATGACAACAGTAAAAATAATAACAACAGTATAAATGAAAGAAAAACTGTGAATATTGCAATAATTCTTTTTAACGTATATTGCAATGTAGTCATCATTGTTATTATTCTGCTGCCCTCCGAACCGAACTGGACACATTAAGGCTCATATATATATGAAATCTTAAAGCTTACATAAGTATATGAAATCTTATGTGAATGCTCTAAGAAAGAGAGAAACATTCAAATTTGAAAAAATATGAAGAGAAAAGGCAAAAACAATAATTTATGCCATTCTTTTAAACTTTCGGTTTGCATTTTGTTGTTCGTACCGCGTACAACTCAGCGTTTTTAATATTAATTTAGATCTCATCACAAAAAACAGTAGCTCAGCGGCGTGTTTTTTTTATTCCTTAATTTTTTTTTTTCTTGTTTTTCATTATTAATTTGTTACCTTGAACAAGTGAGTAAATATTTTCTTGTTTGATTTTTTCTTTTTATATAAAAAAATTTTCGCACTATTATGTATTTTTTGTTTTTGTTTTATTGTTGTTGTAAATATTTTCTGAATGATTATTTGCATAGAATGAGATTGGAATACAAGTGGAAGAAAACCACCTATTTATAATGTTTATTTTTTCATTTTAAATGTATTGGTGATTGTAATAAAAAAAAAATTAATTATACATTTATCATTTTTTTTTTTTCTATTTATAATTGTAATTTTTTTTTAATGAAATTCACCTGTATAAATTTTGTATACTTGCAAATATGCACAATAAAATTGCTTGCACATAAGATTATCAGGCTATGAATTATTATTAATATGAACTTAGGCACACAAAAAAAAAATATTTCATAAAATTTTTTATTAATTAAGTTAGTAATTTTGAAGATATAATTTGCGGGGAAAAGTCATCTGCCTTTTCATTTTCCTTGGTATTTCTGTCACTATGAAAGACTACGATATTAAATTAATTGGTCGCAGCAACAACTCAACAAAAAGCTGCTGCTTCCAAGGATATAAATTAGTTTGTTTATTGATATTTTTTCGTAATTATACGAAATAGTTGTAAAAGGAGCTGCATATCTGACATAATATAGATTCTGTGTCTTTCGATAGGCTCCTTTTGATATATCTCATATGCATAGGTATATTAAAGTAAAATTTTTATAATTTTTGTAAGAGTCCCAATTCCTTTCTTAAAAATTCCATTTTTACCTTATTTTTGCAACAATTTAATTGCAATCAATTCTCAAATGATAAAAAAAATTTAACTATTAAGATAAATACACTGACTGCATTTAGGATTAAATTATTTTTTTTTCTAATTTTCATTTGAACTTCGTTCGTTGTATGTGTGTCTTTTCTAAATAGTAATAATAATAATTAATACACTTATAATTTTGCAGATATAAATAATTTATTAAAAATATTTGTGCGGCTTTGCGGGGGGGGGGGGGGGGCGGTCAGAGCAAAACTAATTTTAAAATGAATTAATTCAAGATTTCTGTTGAGAATATGCATGAACTCTAAACACTTAAAACGCACACTTTAAGATAAGAAAAGCTGCTTTGAATTTTGCCATAATTTCAATATAAAATATATTAAAAAAATGAATTATTATATTTTTATATTCACACAATAATCTTAAAATATAATGATGAATTTAAAAATTGTATTTGTAAAAAAAAAATACCTTGTTTCCCGTCAATATTCGTAATGAATTGAAACTCACCTGAAACAATAAGAATAATGAATTAAGAAAATTATTTATTTACACATATGCATATAGTTAATATAATAAGTAATTTATAATATATTATAATGTTCATATTGAAAATCTCTTCTTCTTCTTCTTCTGGCGCTACATCTCGTGGTGAGATTTGGCCTTCTTTACAATTTGCCTCCATTCTGCTCTATTTTCTGCCTCTCTCTTCCAATCGCGAACCCCTAGTGTTCGCAAATCACTTTCTATGCCGTCTATCCACCTAGCTCGTGGCCTGCCCCTTCCTCTACTTAACAGTGGCTTATATTCGAAGGTTCGTTTTTGTTTGCGGTCTTCAGGCATCCGTGCTAAGTGTCCAGCCCATCTTAATCTCTGGGACTTGATGTGTTTTACAATATTTTCGCCATGTATTGATTGATTCAACTCTTCGTTCGTACGCAGAAGGTATGTTCCATCTTCAAGTCGTTTGGGACCAAAAATCTTTCTTAATATTTTTCGTTCGAAGATTTTTAAGTTATTTTCATCACCCTGAGTCAGAGACCATGCCTCGCATCCATAAGTCACTATAGGCCTGATGGTCGTTTTGTATAAAATGGTTTTTAAGTTTCTTGATAATAGTCGAGACTGAAATAGTTTCTTATTTGCGTAATAACTTCTATTGCCATTTTGAATATTTTCATTTATGCAGGCGTGCATACTATTATCATTAAATATCGTTGCACCCAAATACCTAAAATGCGTAACTCCTTCGAAGTCATATTGAAAATAATAAGTAATTATTTTAAAAAATAAAATTTCTTATTGTTAATTTCAGCGACACAGAGAAAAACAATATTCACAATTGTTTCAAAATATAATTTTACTCGTTCAGAAAATTATGCACAAAATATTTTTGAATTAGAATTTATTAAGTCATAAATTTTCTTATACTGTATGTCTATTGTATGTCAAAAGAAAGAAAATAAAGTGTCTATAATAGTTTATTAATAAAATGGGGCGAAAAAAAAAAAATTTTATCAAACAATACAAAATAATGCAGACAGCTATATACAAATTAAATGTCTAATATATAACGACCTCTATTGTTTAAAAATGAAAAAAATTCCTATAAATGGAATATTAAAATTGTGTTCAAATTTCAAAACTATATTCGTGTTTCAAAATACTTAATAAAAATACTTAATTCGAAATTAAATTTTATTAAATTAACAAAAGAAAATCTTAAAAACAATCTAATTGTTTTCTTTTTTTTCGCTTTAAAATTTAGACCTTGAATTGTCCACCTTTATTAATAACACTCTAGACTATACTACATCCATTTAAGGGCAATAATTTCGTGTCAATATTCAATTATTCAGTTTTTATTAATTTTTTAATATTCAATACTTTTTTTTTGGATATACTCTTGACAGGAAAATCAACAAAAAAAAAAAAATTCAATTTAAATTTTGTATTTAAAAAGAAAATTGACATTATATGTCAACCTTAAACTTGACAGGTGTTAAAATGAAACTTCAAAATACATAAATTTTCGATATTCTTCTTGCTTACATCATTAAATGAATCGATTTTATATTTTAAATTTTGATTTTTTTTTGTTTATTATTAAAATTATCAAGACTCTTGAATTGAAATCTAATCAAACGATGGTCAGTATCTTTTATCTTATGAGTATATTTCGATAATAATTAATTAAAAAGGTACCCATTTAAAGAATGAAATAATAAAAAATAATAAATTAAATAAATAAATAAATAAATCAGTTCATTTTCAAATAATTCCACGTTATAATCGAATCGTGACATAATGTACCGTAATATTGCAATAATAACAATAATTTTGGCAATATTTTGCTTATATGGTATATTAATAATAAAAATACTAATTTAGATAATTAATTATTTTATAATTTAGTATATAGAAGACGGAAGTTTTATTATAATTAATTATTTTTGATTTATTTTTCATATTATACTTAATAGTTATTGCACTAGATTGCTATAAATGTCGTTCTGATATTGATAAGAAATGTGCTGTTTCACCTGGTAAAGATTTAGAAGTTATTGAATGTCCAAAAGATGATAAATGTGTTGTTGGAATTTGTAAGTTTTTTTTTTTTTTTTTACTTGAAAACATATGATTAAATTGCTAATACTGAATTTATATTACAGTTGATAAAATAACACATCGTACATGTTTATCAAAACTGCGACGTGATTGTAATGGACCATTATGTTATACATGTAATACAAATTTATGTAATGGTGAAATATTTCCAAAAGATCGTTGGACATGTTATCAATGTTCTGGATCAGCATGTTTAAATGTAACAAAAAGTAAATTTACACCATTACCATGTCCATTATATGTTGAAAATGATCGTTGTTTTACTGATATCATTTCAATTCATCATATTATTAGAGGTTGTGTATCTGGTGAAGAGAAACTTTGTCCAAATATATGCTTAAAATGTGATACAAAAGGATGTAATAATGAACAAGGTGTTTTTGAATCAAAATGTCAATCATGTTCATGGATGCCCGGTGAATCAATGTATCCAAAAGATTTTGATTGTAAAAGAATGCAAAAATATAATTCTACAACTGGTACTAATCAATGTTTAGTTGAACGTGATAATGAAAATAAAACATGTATACAAAAAGTATTATTGGGACATAAAGAAAAATGTTATACACATTGGAATCCACATGTTAATGTTGTTGTAAGAGGTTGTTCAACAACAATGGGACATTATCCATCTGGAAAATTATGGGAATGTTATGGTGATAATTGTAACAGTGATTGTATTACAATGAAATGTAATCAATGTGATTCTGATACAAATCCAAATTGTCGTAATAATACTAGATATTTACATGAAAAAGATTGTCCAGATGATAATTATGCATGTTATTCATGCGAGGATAAAAGTATATTATATTCAAATATACAAAATAATTTTAAATTATTTCATTATAAATAATAATTTTACTTTTTTTTTTGTAGATAGAAAACTTACAAGAGGTTGCGGTTTTCAAGCCACAACAACCGATAAACAATGTTATAATTGTTATGATGATGAAGGTTGTAATAAAGAGAATGTAAGAACATGTTTTAAATGTACATCAACACAAGATCCAAATTGTGCTAGATGGATTGATTTAAGAAATATTGATAGAGAAAAATGTGATAATCCTTATGAAAAATGTGTTATAACAAAAACATCACAATATACGGTACGTGGTTGTGAGAATAAAGTAAAAGAATGTACTGAAGGTGATCCAAATTGTCGTCGGTGTGAAGGTTCACTTTGTAATGTAGGTGAATACAATTAGAACGGAACTAAGAGCATGAGCTGGCTTTGAACTTTCCATGTTTTGTAAATAATAAACAAAAAAAAAAATAATAAAATGTTAATAAACTATTGGGATTAAATAAGCGTTTAATAAAGTATTTTGTTAATTTTTTTAAATAAAATGTTATCATGGACGTGTGTATATAAGCGAGAAGAAAAACAAAAAATAAAACAAATCACGAAATTATTAATATAAAATTTATGCCAATAATTTCATGGCAAATGATTAAGTAAACTCCGTGTAGATTTTTGTGTTGTGTTAGAGTTTTTTATATTATTTCTTATTGTTAAACTAATACAGACAAGTTGCGGGTCAAATAGTTATTTTAAAATTTAATGTATGTATTTATATTCTTATGAATTTTTATGATAGTTTGTTTGTGGTTTGTTAGCAAAAAAATTTAAATCAAAATTCAATATTTAATGTGCAAAGTTGATAATTACTTTAAAAATTCAGTTTAATATTGATTTACGGACTTATATGTTCAAAGGGTATACTAAATTTGCCATACCGTTTGTAACGTTAAAAAATAATGGTCTGATATTATACTCGTATAAATGCAAGTATATACTTATAATCAGTGTTAAATTCAAACCATATCTGTTCGTCCGTCTCAGCGATAACTCAAAAATTAATTAAGTTAAGCTGATCAAATTTTCTAAAATGATTATAAATTGTAAATACCGGAAACCCATTTAAATTGAATGTGATCGAGGCAGTGGTTCTAGTAGCTGTCCTACAACTTTAAAAATTATTTGGCAATATCTCTGCAATTATTGAAGTTAAGGCCCTTATATTTGATAAAACAAGTTGAAATTCCTTGACTTGCGGTGATAGTTGCCGTACAACTTTGAAAACCATTTGGTTGTATATTATGGAAAGTATTGAAATTACGATACGGCAATGAACGAATAAAAAACCAGGAGTACTTATGAAACTTTATGGCAATCAGGACACACAACTTAAAATGGTGTGTCCTGAATGCCATAGTGAAAAAATTCGTACAGATATCACAGAGTTGACATGGTCAACTATATTTATTCTCGTTTATTTTTTTTGTAGAATTGTAAAATTTATAAAGCGCTTAAAGGCAAATTTTGTTATTAGCTTTGCTGTTGGTGGTTATTTTTTCCTTTTTTTTTTTTTTTTTTTTTAAAAGTGATAATTTTTAAATTTAATTTTTTTTTATAGTTTGGTGTTTTGTTTAATTTATTATAAATGACACCAACACGCATTTTAGTTTAAGTTTTTTTTTTTTTTTTTTTTTTTTTGATTTGAAGATTAAGAAAACTAATCAAAAATAAATTACAAAATTATTTTATTATTTCATATTTGAGTTTTGTTTATTTTAGAAAAGTATTACAATTAGTTCACCTTTTGAACGATTACCAATGAATAGAACGGTTTACGAAGGATAAAGAGGTAAATCTCTTTAATATAGTGAATTGGTTAATGCAATTTAATTAAAATATTTGATATTATGATTTAATGGAATTCGAATTCGAATTAAATATTAATCGAATTTAAAAATGTTTGTTTTTTGTCCTACATTATGCATGCAATTACAAATAGTTGTTTAGTTGTAAAGTTAATAATTTTATTAACAATAAAATTTTTATGAGAAATACATAAATATGTTCTGCTCTACTATAAAGTTCCCTACTTCATTATTTCACTTATCATAGTTGCTCTAGTGTTTAACTATTTAAGATAGCATTTAAGATCCGCTCTTCTTTTGTTTGTGTAGATTCTACACTGTAAGTTAGAACATAGAAGATTCACGGCCACAATATATAGAAGTAATTTCAGTTTAATAGTGTTAAAGATTTTTTTTCTAATTTTTAAAATTTATATTAATTTAAAATATTTGATATAGATTCTTACCAAGTAACTTATTCACAAAGTGAATTTTTCAATTTGAATTTTTAATTTATTATTACAATTTTTTATTTAAAATTTAATTTTCCATACAATTGACATTAATTAATTCATACTTTTTATAATGAAATTAAATTTTCAAATCAAGTTGAATCTTATATAGAATCATTAAAAGTTTATAAGAATAATATTATTATTCTTAAATTTAATATTCTTATAAATTTCTAACAATTGAGTAGTCTTTAATATTTATGAGTACCTATAACTATTCTCGTTTCTTCACTAAGCATTTGTAATTATATGAAAGAAATTCACTAGTATAACTATTCGCATTTCCTTTTGAATGCAGTAATGATACGAAAAAAATTCAGTGAATATAAATTAATTTTTAGAATTTTTCTATTATACATTGTAATAGAACACAATTTATTAGGATTTTGCAGAATTTCTCAAACTTTAATTAGAAATTAAGATATCAATACCATTAAAATTCAAAATTGGAAGCATTACTTTATTTATATTTTATACTAGGGGTTTAACAAGTTAACATTTTTGGGTCAATAAATTGAAATTTTCATATTTTTATTCGTGTATCCTTTCTTTTATACTTACACTCATAATGAGAGAGAAAGGAAAAAATTTTATTGGAACGAAGTTGTAAAGGATCAGTACGCTGATTAATACAATCTTATTACTTAAGTATTACAATACTATTGTGTACTTAAGTAATATTGTTCTTGTATATGACTACAAATTGGCCGGAAACACCAAAAGTTTAAAAATCACTGCAATAAGTAACTATTATAAATATAAACTAGGTACATATAATTTATTTTAATTTTATGTATCATTTTATTATTAATTATAATACTGAAACAAATAACAAATTAAATAATTTTCAATTTAAAATGATAATTTCCCCATAAATAATATCAATTTATACAAATAATAATTAATATTGCAAATGAGAAAGAAATGCAATTAAAAATAATTTTATCTATATATATGTAAATGCCTGTATATTTATTTAAAATTATAATAAGTAATTTTTGCAAATATTATTATTTAAAATTTAATTATTATTATAATAATAAAATGTATAAAAACACAATAAATAATATTTTGTAATTATGAAATATTTGAATAATATTTCATAAAAAGTAATTAAGAAAAATCATAAATCCTTTTAAATATTTTTTTTTTGAAAAAAAATCATAGTACAGTATTAAATTTTAAAATATAAAATTTTGAATTTATGATTTAAATTATAAAATATTTCTTAAACAAAAAAAAATATCAGATGGAATGCGTCTCTAGTCTCAATAGTCATCATAAATATTATTAGAAAATTCTTAAAACTGATAAACCTTATGATGAAAATATTATGAGACAAAACTAGCACGGTTAAAAATTTAAATACCCACATTTGCTTTAAGTAAGAACTCTAAAATATTCTATAAATTTTTCATTAAGGGTTGTCACATGCAAGTTGCATACTCAATTATTTAACCAATTAAAGTTGTAATTCTATCCGCCACTTCCAATTATAATTTAAGTTAAAATAAAATAATTACAAAGCAAAAAATTATAGATGATTGCAATGTTAACTGGTTTAAATAAATATTTAGTAGTTTCGTTCCAAAATTGTTTGCTGGTATTCCTAAAGAAATACATAATGTCAATCGAATTCTCAAAATATTTTAGTCTAGAAAAAAATTTCAGTACACTGAAAGAAATTGTTAATATTTTCATAAGCAAAGAAACATAATTGCAACTAAAAAAATTACAAAATTAGCATTATGTCTGCCTTATACCTAATATGCATTGTTACGTGTGAAATCCTCAATTATTACTTAAAAAATTTTAAAGAAAAACTAAAATTTAATTTTTGAATAATTTTTTCATTTAGTCCCGGACCAATTTGATTCTGAATAAATCAGTAAATTCTATTGAATTTCACATTTCTCATTTTTATTTGCCATTTCAATATTATTGGAATTCTATATTTAACGAGTAAATACTAATGTATTTTATGCCTCATATTTTCGCAATACTGTTCTATACTCATACTGTTCATTTTGGAGTGAAATGATTGAAATACAGAATTGAGACCGTGCTTATTTCATATAATAATTTTACTGCTTTTCCCAAAATGTAGAAAGTTTATAAAATAGATAACAAGTACTTTTCGAAAACTTTCCAATAATAAATCAATCACATCACATCATTCTTAAAATAACAATCATATACTTACAAAATTTCATTTCATTTTTACTAATGATTTTAATGGTTATCTAGACAAGTTTATGAATAAATAATAAATTTAATTTTTGGGTTCATAAACTAATTTTATTTTTAAATAATAACAATAATTTTTTTAATTTATATGTGTGTTTTAAATAAAAATATTTTAAATAGACAAAAACGCATTTAATATTTTTAACAATATAGTAATAAAATAATTTCTTTATTTACTTAAAATGATTATTATAATAAATATAATCATAAATATAACACATATTTCACATTATATGTGTATATATAAGAAATAGAAAATTATAGTAAAATTCTAAGTTTATTAGAGCAATGAATGATGTTCAGTCAATAAAAACCAGTATTTTATTACAAATATTACGATAACATTTATTGCCACTGATTAATAATTATTATTATTATCATTATTATTATTATTGTTATTATTGTTAGTATAAGTGGGATGTGATTATATGATAAACTACTAGTTTAAGTGTTGTGGATTTTAAGTATATACATATACGATTTGTGTAGGAAAGTGTAACCAAAAATTTATAGTTAAAAAAAAAATTTCTTTTGAAATGTTATCGTTTATAACAGATAAAGAATAATTTCTAATTTATTTTTTTTTTTCGAAATGAAATTATAATTATTATTATTATCATATTTTAAAAATATATTAATATGTTACGTATACGTAGTTAATATTAATTAAATTAAAAAAAAATTTAATATGAGCATTATAATTTTTGTTATATTTGGGATGCCATCTATATTTTGTATTATAAAATTGTATAGAATTGCTCGTTTAATAAGTTGGATTATATTATGAATGACGGATGGTACTGTATCTCAACTGATTTTGAACGCATTGTAATTACAGCTACTCGTTTTATTTACAAGTTGGATAATACGAATAACAGATAATACTGATACGTGCATGATTATGAACTATAGAATATTGGT